ATGGGAATCTTCCTGTACAACATGGGAAGGTACAGTGCCCTTGATTTCTGTCCGTTGTGCATGTCAAGAATAGTGGAGCAAGCCCCCCTCTGTTTTTTTTTTTTTTTTGGTTCCTATAAATCTAGGCTCCGTCGCGTGGCTGGCCACGGCTGTGATGCCTCGGCCACATCCGAGGTTTAAAAAAAAAAAAAAAAAAAGAGAGCATCTCGTCGCGTGGTTTGGCCATGGCCGCGATGCCTTGGCCACGGCCCACATTAAAAAAAAAAAAAAAAAAAAAGGAGGCCACGTGGCGGACTGGACTGCAGTTGCAAACTTGGCATTGCGACTTTTATGCTGTGAAGTGTTTCGACTGCAGTTGAAACTTGGGACGGTACTGGACTGCAAACAGGCAGTTCCAAATGCATTTACAAACTGCTTTCGTGACTGCGCCCTAGTTACCCCAAAGAAAAAAGAAAAGAAAAAAAAAATCGAATGTGCTTGAGGCCTTCAGCCAATAGGGTGTCGCCACGATCCAGATTCTCGGTTGTAACGTCTCTCTTTTTTTTTTCTTTCTAGAAAGCCCTGGTTGTTGTAGAGACCGGACTCCGGACACACGGGGTTGCCGACACAGCTATTGGCTGTCCTGACACTCTCTTATTTCGCCGTAAGACCACCTCCTTACCCATCCTCTCGGCAATTCTCCTAGCGCACCCCTATCCCTACCATCCTACCTCAGTATTACTACTCAGGACTATCACCATGGTATTTCAGAGGGCGACTTGGACCAGACAGTAGTTCTAGGCACCGGGGCTTGGCTGGACCAAGCGCGAAGCCTTGAGCCCCTCCCAACCCCAGTTGAGGCACAGTCAAGCAAGCCACGTTACTCGGGTACATCGGGCGCCAGGCTCTAGTATTATGTCTGCTTCTCCTACCAACCCCCATTCTGGCATGTRTATACTATATATGTGTCRTATTCTGGCATGTTTCTCCTTTCTACAGATGTCAGATACTGAGGCTGGACAGGGCCAAGCGCGAAGCCTTGAGCCCCAGCCATCCCCAGTCATGTGTGTATGTGCTATCTGTGTGTTATCCATGGTTCTCGATACCGAGGCCAGGCAAGGACAAGCACGAAGCCTTGAAAACCCCAGCCTACCCCCAGTCATGTATGTGTATATGCCACGGTTCTAGATACTGAGGCTGGACAGGGACAAGCGCGAAGCCTTGATCCCAGCCAACCCCAGCAGTAGTGCGGACCCCCACCAAGCCCCAATTGAGTTCTGTATATATGTGTAGGGTTGTATTGTCATATGAATGGTGGGCCGGTCTGTGCAAGAAACCGCCCCAAAGTCTCTAGCCAGACTCGAACCCACACCCTGTGTTGTGTAACTACAATGCCCTGTCTTATGTGCTGTGTTCTGAATTGATGCCAATGTATGGAATGCCAGAACAGGGGAGAATTTCAGAACAATCAATAGCTTGTGATAAGCTCCGATCCGTAATGCGCGGCTTGCCGTATCCCTGAGGAAACCCCCCCCCCGGAAGCCCCGAGGCATGGATGCGGACAAACAGGGTTTTTTCTTTCTTTTTGCTTTCGTTTTCTTTTCGAATAGCGGCCGCGGCATGAAAACCAAGAAACGGTTTCGGTGGGGATTTTTGAATTTTTGCGCGCGCGCGCCTAAGCCCCGACTTCTTCGCGCGTCTCGCGCCCCCGTTTCTTGCTTTGCATTCCCGCGCCATCTTCCCTTCTTGCTATGCGCATTTCCCCCATACCAGACTCTTCGTCTTCCCCTCTGCCCAGCTTGATCCTTGCCCCATCTTCTCCGCGAAGTGATTGGCTGCGTAGTTGGGATGCTCGGATCAATGTGGAGAGCGGGAAACCGCGCACCACTTGGACGAACACCCCAATCACATAGGACCATGCAACCCTGCGGGTCGAACCCCCTAACTCCCCACCTTTCTCCTGTCCTGCTCATCTACACCCTGCGCTGCCCACACCTCGCGCTGACAACCCGCCACATCCCGCGCTATAAATTCGCGCAACCCTCTCCTCTCCCTCTCTTTGATCTCGGCTGCAATGCTGCGCGAGCTATGCGCGAAAGTCCGCGGCGCCGAACAGGCTC